AAAGATGTGCCATGTCCATGAACCTAATAACCGCAACTAATGTTAGCACTATATGCCATAACATAAGACAAAAATATCAGTAAGTATGCAAAGGGGGTGAGTGGAGGAAGGAATGAGGCAGGAATTTTTAAAAAATATGGTGTATATATGTAGCAGCTCCCAAAGATGACTGTAAACTGGATGAATTACAAACACATAGTAATAAAATAATTAAATTTAAAAATGAAGTAACAAATTCTTGTGAAACTGTTGGGGAGAAAGGAATCCTTTTACATTGTTGGTAGGAATATAAACTAGTACAACCCTGTGGAAATCAGAATGGAACTTCCACAAATTCTAAAAATTCTTTCAACCCACTTACTCCCATCTTAGATATCATTTCAAAACAGTTAAAGTATCATATTACAGTGACACATGCTTACCTATGTTTCTAGCAGTACAACTTATACTAGGTAAAGCTTGGAAGCAGCCTGTATGTTCATCAGCAAATAAAGGAATAAAGAAAATATATTTGTTACACTACAGAATATTATTTTGCTATAAAAAGGATAAACTTGAGTCAATTATAGGAGAGAGGTGGGACCTTGAGAACCATAATGTTAAAGGAAATAAATCAGCCTCACAAGCTTAACTTTCACATGGCTTCTCTTATATTAGAATCCCAAAATATAAACAAAGAGCAAAATAAAGATAGTAGTACATCAGTTCATGAACTTAATTTTTTTCCAAGGTTCTGGTCAAACAGAACTGGATGAGACCCAATTCCGGAGCGTCAACATTGACTCTAACCATTGAATTTGAGTTGGTTCTCCACTAGTTTTGTTTGTAACTAGAATTAGGGAAAAGAATCAAGTTTGTGAACCACGGTATCACTCTAATAGGAAGTAGGGAAATAGAACTTCTGAAAAGAGGAGAGGACGAAGAGAACATGGAGGGAGAGAAGTAGAAAGGAGTGAAAAAAATTAAGGTACGTCATGTACATGTACTAACTATACATGGGGAATGTAATCATTATATACCACAAAGATGTAACAATAAAAATAAGAATTTAACAAAAGAGAAGTTTTTTTTTTTCGAAATCATTTGTCCTAACTCATTCATTTGGCCATCACTTTGCCTCTTTTTAATACCACAGAGTCCTAAACTTCTGACTCATGCTTTACCATCCATCTTCAAAATTCCTATTGGATTTGACCTCTGGCCTTTTCTTCTTCCCAGCCCTCCCCTGAGTACAAGGTGATGTCTCTCTGTGGCTGCTTTAATTTGCCTTAAGAAACTTCCTAAAGACTCAAGTCTACTTTTCGTAAAGATTTCTTTATTTCTTCTATGTTACCTCTTCTATGTTGACACTGGGTTTATTGTTCGTTGAACCTCCTTCTACTGGGTTTGTTCTATAAGATATACTGTAAGATTTAATGCCTTACCACATCAAAGAGATTCCACGGAATGACAATTTTTTTCTTCTAGTTTGGACTGGTTGATTGAAATGGAATTCACCTATGCCTTTGAAACTTCAACTGGAATGGTTAAGATAGCTTGGGGTCTTTTCCCACATGAGAATCATCCTCCAATAAGTTAGGGCTTGTTTGTGTGACAGTGGAAGAGTCTATGGAAACAGCAAGAGAGGCCAAGCACCAATTGGCAGTGTTTATTCAAGCCTCTGGTTGGATGACAATTGGCAAAAGTCAAAAGACAGGCACATGGTCACACACACAGTCAGTATGGATTGGGGTTACTAGAGCGGTGACCACTGCTGCAAAATTAGACCACGACCTTCCCTCTAATTCCAATTATTCATGCACCTTTAAATGAAAAATATATACACCTGCTCCGAGACTTGCATAATTTGTGTTCAATTATAGCATTAGGTTCAAAGTTCAGGACACTGGGATTTTTATACAGTCCAAAAGAAGATGAGGCCCTCATTCTTTGGCTGCCACTCCTTAGGATTCAGAAACCTGTAAACTGAAGAAGAAAATATATGCTTTGCATGTACTCAGTTTTGTGTCAAGAGACAGGAGAATAGCAACAAATATTTCTAGTTTAGAAGGGAATTAAAGGAAGGCACAGTCAGAAATTAGCAATTCATAAGAATCTGGAGTCCTACTGAGCACATGCTCCTAGGTTTCCTGCTCTGGGGTTCAGCTCTGTTCCCAGTCACTGTTTTCTATCTCTACAGATCCTGTTACCTAGATTTTAGCCTTGCCATCTGAAGAGGTTGCCTGAGATAATATTCTTCTTCTATAAGTAATAGCGCTTGATAACAGCTGAATAGCTGAGTCTACTTCTGACTTAAAATTACCATCACCATCTTCATCACCATCATCATCAAAATCAGGGTCTCAAAGGCCATTTTACATTTGTGAAATCTCAGATCTTTTAACATCATGCTGACTAGGTATTTTTTTTTAATAAGGCCCTCTTTAAAATGTGAGTCTTCTGTTATTTTCAGTCAATCTAACACATAATTCCAAGTCATATGTGTAATTCTTTCTGTCACTGACACTTCTTTGGTTTGGGCATATTTGATTATGAAACATTTTAAGACTTTTAAGAAGCCCTCTGTGCTACCTAAGATGTTCTACTAGGGACCACTTTGTGAAACTCAGAACCTCAAATTTAAGAACCAGTAAGGTTAAAAAAAAAAAAGAAAGAAGGAAAAAGAAAGAGAGAAAAAGCAAAGAAATACCTAGAGAATGTTCAACATAGAATGGGACTAGGAATGAACAATTTGGGACAATCAGTTGTCACTGATATGGGAATGGATAAAGTGAGATTAGGAACACAAGACTGGGCAAACTGTCGGAATTTGACAGCTATCATCCCATTCTCAATTCAGTTTTCTGAAATGCTTTTACATTTAATATTATTTTTCAAATACTTTTGCAAGTTATTTCACAGTGTTTGTCATGTGTTATGTTAAGTGACTGCATTACCCCCTATTGGTTTAATAGCCCGCCATTTATCATTGTTCTATCATGCCACATTTCAGCAGCTTTAGTTTTCTGCTGTTAGAATAACTTTACTGATCCATCTTTATAAATTCTTACTTGTGAGTTTATCAACTATGGAATGTTTGATAATCGTGAATCAGATTACTGGTGTCAGCATAAAAATGTATTTGAAGCAAATCAATTAAATGGCCATTGTTTTCTAAGTATCTATATTAACTTATGCATCGATTTATAACATTAGCATCCACGCTATCAGTTTTCTGGAAGCCTAAATCATCATGAGTTTTATCAGATTTTTCTTTCCTTTTTTTGGAATTTAGCAGATAAAATAATATAGCAACGGTTTTTATTTGCAGTTTTTAAATTTCTAAGAAGCTTAATCATTTTTCTTTGTAAATTTACCAAAGCTAATTTTCCTTGTGTGAAGTTGGTTCCAGGGCTAGACTGTAAAACTATCATTAGATCCAGCTGCAGAAGAAAAAAAATTAACAGTAGCCTTTTTCTATTCCACATAAAAGAGGTTGAGGAGAGTCCAGGCCCACCCAGGCGCTCCTGCTTTGTAAATCTTAGGGCTCTGTTACCCTCAGCAACTGCTTGTCTTGACCTTATGCTCTGATTCTAATTAGCAGGAAGGAGATTCCTGTGGGGATGAGCCATTTCCCTTGAAGGGCATTGTATAGAAGGTGCACACCACTTCTGTTTATACCCAGTGACCAGCATTATTTCCAAGAGAGATTAGATCAGAGCACAGAGCATCAGCAGACTGTCACGGACAGCTAATCTCTGTCTCCCATTAGGCTGAAAAGAACAGCAAGAGGAAGAAAAAAATGATACAATTCAGCAAAGGGCGTAAATGAGAGAGGAAAGCCAAAACTCACACAGGGACAAAGGAATAGGTATGTGGCATTGAGAAAATGAGTGGTTCTTAAATTTAAGCCCTCGTGATACAGGAGGATGAAACTCCCAAACTACTAGGTATCTGGCATGAGTTTGCATTCTCTAAAATTGAAGAATGAATTTTAGGAACAGTGGAGGTTAAGAGCAGAATATATTTATTGAGAGAAAGAAAGCTTCTGTCTGAGAGAGAGACAGAAGAGGTCCCCAGTGGATTGCCAGGGACTCTGTCTTTTCTAGGAACTTTTACAAAGTAAAATAATGAGGTGAGATGGGTCCAAGGTGAGGAAAACTGGGAACTCATAAGGTGGGGAAAACTGGGAACTTGTAAGATAAGCATAAGGTGGGACAGAAGTGTGATCAACCAATAAGATTAATGGCTCAGGTAAAATTGATTAAATCAGGAACAAATGGGGAAGCGAGTCACATAGGAAGTGGGAGTGCTGAACAGCAAGTTACTCTTCCTGTAGGGAGCTCCGAGGGTGACTCCTGACTTCTTCAGGAGGATAGAGAACTATTTAGTGTCAATCCTTAGGATGTGGGTGCATTTGCTTGATCCTTTGTCTTGAGATCTGGTACAGTGGGAAGTGTATGTTTCCTTTAAGCTCACAAGACATTTAGTCCTTGGTGCCAGCTCCCTCGAGGGCCTAGCCCTGTCTGACTGCCTATAATATTTCTAACTAACTCAACTACCTGTAACACTAGTACTTAAATGCAAGCCGTCTCTCATAGGCTTTCCTCCTCTTCCCCAAATTCTAAACATGTTTTCAAAGCTCAGTACACATCTCAATACCATCTGCAATCCTTTCTGATCAGGACAGAGCACTTACTTGATTCAAGACACCAAAATAGGTCTTGTTAGTTATCACTGTGTGTTTTTGGTCAACCAAAAAAAATTTCAGATTTATAAAAAAGAAGGAATTCTCTTGCATATTTTCCCAATGGTTAATATTCCTTACCAACATAGCTTCCAAGATTTTCTAAATTTAGTAATCTCTGATTCATCCAGATACCCTGTTTGTTGGGAATCCAGGATTTTATTCAGTGAATATAACATCACAGAAAATATGAAGTGTTTACATCATCAGTTTTTTATGTTTTTCTACTTCATAAATAAATGGTGTGACTAAGGTATAAACACAAGAAATATACTAATATGACATGATTTTTATTTTTTGTTTTGTTATTTCTTTTGATATCCTCAGATTTGCTTTATAGGTAACCCAGAGTTATCAGAGTATATTCCTGAAAGCTGTTAGATGTGGCTTGAAATTGTATATCAGAACACAGAAGTATGTAGAGTGGTGGGAATGATGGTCAGTGATCAAAGTATCATAATGACATTTATAAAAGGGTATACTGCTCACTATTCACAAATGAGTAATATACACTAATTGACTGCTACTTACAAAGCACAAAGATACTGTGGCGGATCTAAAGATGAATCAAACTTGGACAGGATTCTGCTCCTAAAGAATGTTTAGCCTCACAGGTAACAAATACAGATATAAAAGTTATTATGTAACATTTCAGTGTTCCTTCAACTGTCAGAAAGAAGAAACTCCTTCAGTAGAAGGAAGCTTACCTTGGATTGATAAAGCACACTCAACTTGAATGGGTCAAAGGACTCCTGGACTTTGCCCTAGGGTCACCTTTTGTCTTAGTGGAGGAGAGGTTTACTTGGGCTCAAGATTTTTAGAGGTTTCAGGCCATAGTCAACTGATTTCAGTGCAAAAAATCGCCTGGCGGCAGGAAGGCATGGTAGATGAAAAGCTGCTCGCATAATGGCTGCCAGGAAGTAGAAAGAGAAGGAAGATGTACATTTTCCTGTCACACCCTTGATGACCTCTAACCAGGCCCCACCTCCTAACAGCAAGTTAGCTACAACCCTAATTATCCAATTACCTTCCCCAAACTCCTCCTCTGATTGTATGAGTTTTAGGGCCATTCTTGATCCAAACTGTAAACACTTTTCAATTGGCAGACTGTTATTTTGGGCAAATTGCTTATTTTTCATGTGTAAAATGAGCACAGTAATACTGACATCACACTCAGTGCATGTCTTGTTAGTCCATACAAGTCATTAAAGATTCTGTTAAGCATAATATGCTATAATATAGTTAATTGCCTTATTAAGCTGGCTATAAACTACAACTTGATTCAATTATCAATGAATACATTCTTTTATAGCATGGAATTATTTAACAGCTCACTCATCACAGATCACATAGGTCCATTGATTCCACTTCCAGAAAGTTCTTGACACTTCTCGAACTATCAGGCTGAGACTTGAGGAAGGAAGAATTCCCAGATGCCTGAGCCAAAGCAACCTCAGGGGATCCACAGTCTTGAGTGTCTGTCTTCTCGTCTTGCCCATGGCAGAGGTCCCTTAACCTAAAAATACCCAAGCTGGGAAGGGAAGAAGATACAGTGTGAGGAAATGGGAAGAGAGAAGTTTGGACAGAAAAGTAGGAAAATGTGAGGGAAATGGTATCTTGCCTAGAGATACTGTGTAAGGTGGTCCCCTTTATCATGGGAAGTAGAGCGGAAGACCTTTCTCTTTCTCCCTTTTAAAATATAGTACTGCTCTGTTCTGCTCTGCTCTGCGAATACCTTAAGTAGTAGGAACATTTGAGAAGTGAATGCAGGAGGTGCAGCTGAACACCAGCAGGATTTCTTAGTTCTAATACCTAAGCTGCTCACTTACTGATACGTGTAGCATGATCGTGACCACTCCTGGGAAACTCTGTTTTTGTTCTTCTCTCGCTCTCCTTCTAGAAACTGGGCTCTGGAAGAGTCTTCAGATTTATGGATCCAGGTTAACTTTGCCCAGAAAAATGAAATTGCATTGGGAGTCTTTTCTGGTTGGTAGTTCAAACATTTACAGCTGATTGTACATAGTGATCTTGAGATACTAAAAAGATTTGAGGTGAAAAAAAAGAAAAAGGAGGAAGCATGCTGGAGCAAAGTGAATAGGGGAAGTCTCACCTACTTCATAACCAAGAGGAAGGCCTTTAGAAGTTGCCTTCTTCTCATTTGTAAATTACCTTTCCAGACAGGCTTGGGCCATAGCACGCACATCTTATGCACCAATCTGAAATCCAGGAATGAGCTCCCTGAGAAGGAGCATTGACCTGGAAGATTGAGAGTGGAGAGAAAGGAAGGAGAAGAAAGGAGGATTTGGAGGGAGGTCATTCTGCTTGGCTTGTTGAGATGGGCTTTAGATCTTGAGCTTGAAGGAAACAGATATTGGAGTGAATACCAAAAAGACACATAGAGAGATAGTACCCAGACAATCTGCTTTTTTAATCTACCAAGTTTTATCAGGAGTACAATGCCATTGGCAATTTGAAGATAAATTCCTCAGATCTTAGTTTCCAAATGTGCTTTTTAAAAATCAAACACCCTGTGGACATATCCTGGGTATCATGTTCCTTTTCATTCTCCATCTTTTGTTTTAAAATGAGTCTGACAGATTTCAGAATGAAAGTGTCCCAGAGAAAAACTCTCCAGAATCCTGAACAAATGGTCAACTTGAAATATCGCTGTCCAGGTTTCAAATACATATTTGGCACTGCTTTCAAATAGGAAGAGGTTAAAGATTAAGACTGTAGTTTCAAATTGGGAGTATTTTCTTAAGCATTTAATCAAACTCCCTTGGGAAATATCTCTTTGAATTTTTGCCAAGTGATTATTCTATGTTGTTAATCTATAGTCATTTTAAAATTTAGGTACTATCTGTTCACTTCAATGTTTCTATAGACTTACTAGCCCAATAGCTTTGCTGGTAATTTTCACAAAACATTGTCTTATCCTAAACCAGGCACAGTGGTGCATGCCTGTAATCCCAGATATTCAAGAAGCTAAGACAAGAGGACCACAAGTTGGAGGCCAGTCAGGATGATTTAGTGAGATTCTGTCTCAAAATAACATAGAAAGAGTTGGAGATGTAGCCCAGGGTTAGAGCATTTGCCTAGCATGCTTGAGGTCTTGGGGCTAAGCTCCAGTAACCTCTTGCCCAAAGTTACTCTATTTCAGGAGTAAGAAATATGCATTCATGATACATCAACTAATCTTTTAAAGAAGGATGGTTTCCTTTTCTATGTTTAATGATGAGCTAAAATTTTTATAATTTTACTTTATTCAGTTATACATATATTAATTTTAATGATGAATCATCCAGAACATTTAGGCTCTTATTAACATTTAGGTTCTTATGGTGATGGGAAATTTTAACTTCTTCAATTTTGTATTATTATTAATAATAAAAATATCAAATCTAGTAAAATTAAAATATGTAAAATTATAATCAAAGCATATATTTTATTGCCCAGCATTGTGATGTAATGATCAGTAAAAGATTATCAATCTGAAAAGCCTTTATATTAACATAAAATTCTGTGGCAATATAAAATTGGAATGTAAATTCAAGAAGAAAAAATGATGGAAACTTTTTTGGCTGTTAAAACAAATCCCATTTGTATGTTTTTTGAATAGATGAAAGTGGGTTTTCAATATAGTTAATTGAGTAAGTCAGTGTGCCAAAGTTTATATCTCTTTTAATTATCTAAAATTGCAACGGAAATTTTGTTAATTTAAAAATGTGTGAGGCTGCATTATTTCTCCCAAAGTGTTAGGAGGTCCCAGAACAGAGCATTTTGCAGCCCCAGAAAATAGAAGTTTAGAAAAGAAAATGTTGACAAGGATGTGCCACCTGCCTCTCCAGTCTTGCCTCGGAGTGGGGTTCTGCCATCTCAGGGCTGCCTCTGCCTTGTTGCTTGGGCATCTCACTTGGCTTTCTAAGAGAATACAAAGCAGGTGAACCCCAAGTACACACATCTCTTCCATATAGGGCTTGCACAAACCAGTGTGACAGTGGACTGTGAAGATGTATCCACGGTTCTGTACTGCACTCTGCGGTTTAACCTACAAGAGTGACAGAGAGGGATTTAGTGGTGGGGTAATCAGACATTTTGGAGTGCTCTAATCTTGGAAAAGCTGCTGTTTGGTTTAAAAAGTAGCATTACAGAAAGCATTTTGGAATGCATAGGATGCACGGGTCATCCTATGGTCCTTCATTGTCTAGAGCACTAGGAGAGACTGAGTGTAGACTCTGATTTTCTCTGAACCTCTGAAGCCCCATTTGTGGAGACCTTTGGCCCTTCAACCTGACTTCATTGATCATCTGCTGATGCTGCCTGCCTGTTTTCCTCTCCCTGCACCCCTGGCCACTTGCTTAGGATGATTTGCCAGTAGACTGTTGGGCAAAAAAGTATTCTGAGCTCTCTGAGTCAAAGGAAAGGCATCCTCGGGATGTGGGTTTCTCAGCTTCTCCAGGAGTTGTTTTGTCCGTTGTCCCCAGCTCTCAAAAGGACAGTCTGTGCCTTGAGTGTTGACCCCAGGGCTGGCCAGGTGGAGGTCGAGGCAGGTAGGAGGACAGTCTGAGGCTCTCTGAGAGGCTCTGCCAGCAACAACAAACAGGGCGTGTGGGGTGAAAGGGGTTCAAGGCAGCCATAGCCACGTGGTCTCCATGGTTCTGAAGGCTAAAAAGGAAAGTGTGAGAGTATAACGTAGCATCTTGAGACTGCAATCACATCATTTCCAGTCTGCTTTCTCTTTAATAAAATGATTCCATTTGATTGACAGAAGAGATTCACTGTATCTCAAATCTTCAGATCAGCAGTCCTCAAGGAAAGGTCAGTCAAGTCAAAGATACTTTCGTAATAATTTGAGGACATATTTTCATGATCTTGTGAGCACAGTGTGGAATTTTGCAGAGTTCCTGCAACATATAATGATATCTTTGCTTAGATCATGTGTTAGTTAGCTTTGTGCTATTCCAACAAAATGCTTGAGATAGCTTATAGGAAAGGTTTCTTTTGATCCGTGGTTTCAGAGGTTTCATTCCATGGTTAGTGGGCAATGCGGCTTTTGAGCCTGTGTCAACACCTTTCATCATGGCAGGAATGCTTAGTGGAGCAAGCAGGACTGCTAGTAAAAGAGAGAGAAGGAAAGAGTTGGGAGGGAGAGGCAGTGAGAGAAAGAAAGGGTGACAGAGACAGAGACAGAGAGAAGTTAGCTTCCCACAGTGCCCTTTGAGGACACACCCTATTGATCTAAATTCTAGATCCAAGCCATAGCAGATGACAAATAGGGCTTGTGTGTATTTTATATCTTGAAGTTTTTTCAGTTCTAATTTCTACCATAGTAAATATTGATACAGTACATTCCCTCCAGTGGATGTCTAAAACCACAGATAGTACCATAACCTATATATTTATGCCTCTAGACATACATAGTTCTGATAAAATTTGATGTATAAGCATAGTAAGAGATTTGCAACAATAATCAAATTAGAACTACACTGTAATAGAACTTATTTAAAGCTGAGCATAATGGTACACATCTGTAATTCCAACACTCAGGAAGCTGAGGCAGGAGTGTCACACTGAGTTCAAGATCAGCCTGATCTGCATAGTGATACTGTCTTTTTAAAAGTTATTTAAAATTTATAAGATGTTTATTTCTGGAGTTGTCCCACTTAGTAGTTTTTGACTGCAGGTAACTGAAGCCATGAAAAACAAAGTCACAGATGGAGGGGATGTGGTAGGGACTGTGGACATCTCTATTAAAGGTTTCAGTAATTTTTAAGCGTTATAAAAGAAAGCTGAGAACTAAGAGTTTAAGATCTGCTGCCTCAGATCTTGTTCCAGATATGTTTGTCAAAGGAGGTGAGAAACTGTTTAAAACCCCACAGAACCTGAGGCAGTGCACAGAGGAAGATTCTGCCGTACCACATTATCCAGGTTGCTTTGCTCACTGACCATTGACTGTGGCCATGAAACTGAATGATGCATCACCTCCCTCCACGTATTCGGGATGGAGGGCAAACTGTTGCTTACCAGCTCCCCTGCTCTCTATTCTTCCACACAGGGTTAGTCTTTAAGCCTGAGAATACAGAAAGACAGTAGTATAGCGTGGTGATAGAGAACGTCTTAAAGCTTTCAAAGATACAAACAGCCCACGCAGCATGCATGCCATAGGGGATTTCAGTTTTTCTGTACTCCACACTGGAGAATGTCGGGTTCATGGCTGGAGCCAGGAGCAGGTCACCTGGGGACATGAGCAGGTGAGGCTAGAGCTGCTGAGTGAGGAAGAAGAGCCAGCAGCAGACTCAGCTGGTATTGAAACTGACCGTGTAGGGATAATCAGAGCAAGTGGTCTCATCTCCTGGGTTCCAATTGTAAACCCAGTCTGCCGTGAGTAGGAATACCTTCCAACCCCCCCAGAGACATGGCAGCACATCTGGGACAAGGATCTTAAGATTATACAATGCATGTGCCCACTCTTCAGTGGTGTTTATAGGATACCCACTGAGTAGCCCTGGAAATGCAGCAGCGATAAGATGGATATGTGTCCTTTCTCTACCAAGATGGGCCACGATCTCCTTTTCAGATGCCAGAGGAAGAGGGATACAGTGAGCTATCTAAAGTCTCGATGTCAGTTGATAAAAGAACTATCTACTGTGCCCCTACTCCTAGGGGACACAGCAGAAATAAATGATGCTCTCTACCACCCATGAGCTTATAGTCTTGTTAGAGAAACAAGAATTATGCCCAAGATAGTATTATAAGGATTCAGAGGGCAGAGCTTGGTATTCCACAATGAGAGTATAAAAATCGTTGTTTATTTTCATTCAAGGCAGGATTTGTGTTAAAACAAAACCATTCATTGGGTTGCTTTTTTTATTATTTTAATCTGTTTGTTTAAGATTCAATTTATGAAAGACACATGTTTAAGACTACATATCACTGGCCTGGGGAAGATCAGACATCAAGTGTTTTGTTGGGGGAGAGAGGATACCAGGGATCAAACTCATGACCTCATGTTTGCCAGGAAGGCACTTATGCCACTGAGCTAAATCCCCAGCTTCCAGACATAAAAATTTGAAGTGTGGCTCTTGCCGAATCTAGCCAGCTATTTAGCTCAGTGACATAAACGCCTGCCTGGCTCTTATCGAATCAGACTTTACACCATTGTAAGGTTAGAAAATTCTGGGAAATCGAAGACCAATTTATTCAGAAATCAAAGAACATTTATATGTCTCTTGAAAAACTTCCCAGTGCCTAGTCTGAGAGGCCAACACTTTTGTTAAGAATGCCACAAATGCTTGAGAAATTTATTCTTTTTTTTTTTTTTTTTTTTGTCTTTTTCCTTTTTATTGGTACCGGGGATCGAACTCACAACTGCCTGCTTGCAAGGCAGGCGCTTATGCTGCTGAGCTAAATCCCCAGCCCCTATGCTTGAGAAATTTAGATGACAATGTAGCAGTAAATAGAAAACTGGGCTTGAGTTGTTTATGTAGAGACATAAAGCGTAGATTATCAGTAAGGTATAAATCAATAACAAGGTAAGAAAGGTCTAAGGAAGAGTTCTATAGATGGGTGGGATGTGTAAGTTCAGAAGGAAAATCACAAATTTATCAAGTGTTTAGGATGTGCCTGCCTCTATTTTAAATGTTTTTTTATATATTAACTAGCTCATTTAATCCTCCCACACTCCTATCAAATAGAGATAAGTATTATTACTATTTTTCAGAAGGAGGAAACTATGTCACATAGAAATCAATTCATCTACTGTTCTTCTGTTGTATGCTAACTTACTTTAAAATATTTCAGCTTATGGGCCAGGGATTTAGCTCAATGGCATAAGTGCCTGTCTGTCAAGCATGAGGTCATGAGTTCCATCCCTGGCACCAATATTAATAATAATAATCAGTATTATTATTAATACTGAGTATCATCACCTCTGTATGCCTAGTTTGGCTTTTAAGCTTGGAGTGGTTAATTACCATTTGAAGTCTACCAATCAACAGTATACAACCTACAGGTGCTATGCCCCATCCTCTTCTCCCCAATCTTGGTGGGCTGGTTCTGGGCCCGTCACACTGTTCCATCTTTCTTGAAGTGGCTCATACATGAAAGGTGCTTTATGGAATGGCCAATGGCAGATAAAAGAGAAACCTAGCTTATAAAAACAGATTGTGAGTGATAGTTTTGTGTCTGTTTGCCAGTGTTTTTGACAAAATTTGACCTATGATTCACTGTCTCGGTAATGCGCGCCTAAGGTTGCTGAGTACTGTTCAGTCTCCTTGACCCCTCATTGCCAGAGGTTACTAATACCTCCCTGTTGTTCTGAATACCTGTACTAGTGCCCGGGCCACACAGATGGTGCATGGTACCAGCTGCCTTCATTCCCAGGATGCCCCTCCTGACCAGCACACCACACTGTCTCTCTTTAAGTGGACTGAATACAAGCCAGTGAAAGGTAGGTGAAGGGGCAGAGTTTTCACAAAGAGCAAGAAGATTCAAGGACATCTAGAGACAGCAAAGTTTTAAGAGGGAAGATTTGTTGAGTCTGGAAGGCAGATAGTAGAAGGCAAGGGTGTGAGAATAAATGCCTCCCACTGCTGGATTATGTTTCCCTGGCACAGTGGGTTCGAGGGCTTGAGTTGGAATAAAATGTGTGGGATTAGTCAGTGGTGAGGTGGAGAGTTCTTTTGCTTCTTTTTAATTTTTCTTTTCTCAGGTGAATTTGGACTTCCCAGAACCAAGAGTGTGGAGATTGTCAGTAGGAAAACTTTGGAGACTGAATGTAGCCTCAGGGTCATGACAAGAAATATGTCCTGCTCTCTGGAACTTGTCAGGTTATAAAGGCCATTCGGTGGTAGATCTGGGATGTTGCCTACTCTTCAAAGATCCCCACTCAGCCAGACTCAGCCACTCTCAAAGGGAAGATGGACTGCAGGGCTCTTTGCTGCCCTCTTTCAAAGAGCTCAGGGTGAATTTTAAAATCTCTTGAGGTCAAAGAGTAGGACAGTCAGTTCTGGAAGAGCTGAAATGACTCTGACTTTTGCTTCTCTGCAAGAGCTGATGAATAATTCAAGGCAAAAAGTATAGGAGCTCTGCCAGAGGAGGGCAGCTGAGAGCAGCCACATCCTGCTTGGTTGCCAGGAGACTGAGTTGGGCACTGAAGGGCCGCGCTCCATCTTGTGCCTTCTTAGCACCCCTGACATTGGTCCCACATGGCTCCCAGGGAGCTGTGCTCTTTTTCAGCCAAAAGGATAAATGTTCACTCCAGAAAGTCCTTGGAAGAACTCCAAAACCCAGAGGAAAACAAGTGTGAATAAAAACATCAATGTACCCTCCCTGGGGTATCTGCATTGTACTGAGAGGACAAGGAAAGAATGGAGCCAAGGAGAAGGAAAGAAATGAGAGAAGCAAGTGGGGTTGTTGGGGAATCCCACGGCCCTGGCTGGACCTCAGTCCTGCACCTTCCACACTCAGAGATGACTTGTCCAAAGGCAAACCTTATTCACAAAGCAGCCCTTCCCCACTGGCTCACCTTGTTCCCAACTTGTTGATTCTCAGAAGGAATCCATATCAGGAGATCATGAGCACAGCAGATGCCTGCCTCCAGCTGCAACCAACCCACCAACGTCAGCTGTCTCATCACAGAGATCACGATCCAACTGTCTGGCCTTCAACTTGTCTAAGACATTCTTGCTGGATCTTATCACACTGAGAAAATACCTGTCAGAAAACAGCCCATGCGGGTTCCCCTGGATGCACAGCTGGGCAGAGGTCCTGACCCTGAAGCCCATGATCACTGACTTAGCCAACAGAAAGCCAATCCTGCGCCTCACAGCCTCTCTTTGCATTCCTTGCCTTGTGAGGAAGACTGGAAGACTCTCCTAGCAGCCCACCCAAAGTTAATGAGAAGAAAACCTACCCCCCAAAGAAGTGAACCTCTAGGGTGTGCCTTATTCATAGCACTTATGGAATTCATGTATTTTCAGTACATGGTAAGCAATAAAAGCATGGGATAACAACTTACTCATAAACTAATAGAAGTAGCAGCAGCTAAATCCAGGTTTTCCTACAAGACAAAGGAATGGGTGCTGAACTTTGTGAATCCTCACTGACCATCAGCAACATTCCCCAAACCTCAGACCGGAGTGCTATGAGTGTCGATTCTACTCAGTGAATAAACCCCCAGTGACACAGACTCAGTCATGTCTTGGAGAAGTGTAGTCTGATAACGTTTTCGCTGCCCAGTGATAATTACCCATCAAATTTCATTTAAAAAGATGTCTACACTTTTTATAAATATGCTTTCCTCTTGTTCACCAAAACTATGTCCTTGAGGGCAGGGAGAATAATGCCACGGGAGTCTGTGAATGTGTGAGGGAGTGTGTGTGTGTATGTATGTGTGTGAGTCAGTGCTCGGAGCCAAACACTGTGTCCCTCTCAAATTCCTGTATTGAAATCCTAACTCTCATTATAACTAGGCGGCGGGCTTTGGGTAGTCATTAGGATCTGAGGACAGAGCACTCACAGGATGGATCCATGACTTCTAAAAGGGACCTGGGAAAACTCTTTACTCTCTTTTCATTCCATGAGGACACCACAAGAAGACAGAAGTCTAGAACCCATAAAAGGACCTCTGCCAGATTCCATTCATGCCAGCTTCCTAGTCCTGGGCCTCTAGAATTGTGAGAAACAAGTTCCTGTGGTTATAAGCCCTCTAGTTTATGGCATTTTGTCATAGATGTTTGAACAGACTAGAACAATTGGGAGTTACTTCCTATTAAGAAAGAAACTGAGATAAATACAGATCTATTTATCAAGCAGAGATTGAACATCCACAGTGTTAGTAGGATTCAGGAAAGAGATAAACTGAGACAACAGCAGTAGAGCATTTTATGAGGGTATAGCTTATGCCACACCTTTTTACGTTTTGAGGAGTGTGCAAGCTGAGAGGGAATCCCAACAGTGCATGTTCAGTTCTCCATAAAATGCAGGAAAGTGGAACACCCAGCATATTTAAGAAGCGAGCTAGGGAATTACAAAGGAGGGGTGTTGGACTCTGAGGCTAGGGAGATAGGAAAAGTTTCCTAAAGAGGCAGTTTTGGGGTACACCCAGCCTCTACCTAGCAGGGGAAACACAGCAGGAGCTGTCACCCCTCCACAGCCGCCCTGGCTGCCATGGTCCCCACTCCTGGCTGGGTTCTGCCCCTGTCTCCCTCTTTCTATGTGTACAGGTTGGAAAGCTGCAAGCAGCTCCGGCAGCCTCCTCACAGCGGGAGCTCTGCTTCAGGATTTAAATAAATAATTTTGAGGTTGGAGGTTTCCCTTGCCTGAGATTTGAAGGGCAGGGGAGACACAGAGGCTGTCCTCTGGCAAAGCAAGGCTGGACATGTGACTCTGGAGAGAGCAGGCCACAGCTCCTGCTCTGTGGGCAAAGAAGGGACAGCATTGCCGGTGATTGCAATAGCAGCAGCAGCCTGCTCTCTGGCTGCCCCTGACAGCCTGGCTGGAAGACTGCACTCCGTCAGCACCCTCCCTCCCCACACCTGCTCCATCAGCCTCTGCCAGGGTATAAAACCTGGAGCCATTTCTGTTCCCTGCCCTGAACTCTTGAGTAGTGACACCTTGGATAATTAATTAACCCTGAGAGAAATGGCAGCTCGTTGCGCCAGCCTGCAAACTGGCCCTGGCTCCACCACTCCCACACAAAGCCCTATTCTGCTACCGGTGCCCTGTCCTTGCCCGGTGACGTCCGTGCATCTCTGCCGATCTCTCACCTGATCCCCTTCATGAACATGTGTCCCCTCTCGGCTCGCTGTCTCCGTGCTGGCCTGTTCTCCTGCTCTCCGTGCTCTCCTGCTCTCTCTTTTCTCTGAATTCGCTTGTCTTTTTATAGCACTAAGTCCTTGCACTTCTGCTTTTGCTTTCTTTCCCCTGGGACAATGGATCCTTTGTTCCTTGTGTCACTTCCTGATTATCAATGATGTGCGAGGTGCCATGGACCCAGTAAAGATGGGCAGTGAGATGCAAGCTGAAGGAATCCGGCGTTTAGTACGCGAGGTGAGTAAGGCCGTAGAAAGTGTATTCTAGCACCACACTGTTACAGAAAAGCTATCTCAAAAGGTGGACAACCAAGAAGGCCTGTGGAGAACACAGCCTGGCGCCCCCAGTGAAAGTGCATTAGAGAAGCACAGATCTTTAAAGAGATTAAATATGACATGTGGGAGTCTGTTAAACAGGTAAGATGTGTCCTCTAACAGAACAAGCAAACGGGTCTCAAGGAAAGGAAAGCATTTTGACAAAAGAGAATAACATAAAAAAGAAATTGAATGGACGTGAGACAGGTTTTCCATGTTGGCAAATTCTACTCAAATCCATAAAGCAGTGTGGTACATTGTAAGTTTGTAAATTGGGAGAATTTGTCTTCTTCTCTCAAGATTCAGCACTGTATCTTCACAAATGTTTGTTGAACGACAGCCATCATGTCAGTGGCCACCTAGACCCAAAAGCCAATTGCTCTCCTCTGTCTGGCCTCCATTCCCTCTCTGTTCCCTCCATTCCCCCTCTGTACACCCAGGCCAAGGAGCTTCCTGTTTACCTTTGACTCTCCTGGAGTCCACCTACCCATCAGGCTGAATGAATGGTTCTGCCTGTAAACTAAGTCCAAAGTTTGAGCACTTCTCAACACTTTGTCTGCTACCACCTTGTACCATTGTCAGAATCTGTTCTTGATGTCTGACAAATACAACATCCAGAGAGTGATCCCTTCAGAACAGGAGGCCTAGCACGTTGTCCCCACCCTTTATCTCTTCTAGGAGGTTGGACAGGTCTTACACTATCTCCTCCCTGTGAACTGATGAGGGGCACACACGCTCAGCACTTCTGCCCCAGCTAATCCCACATCAGCCGCTTTCTTTTCTGCACATGCACCTTGATCTTCCTGGCTTCTTCCAACTCTTGCCTATTTACCTCATTAGAAAATGTTCTTCTATCTCCTTTCTTGGACTCATTTGTAAGCCAATAGCCAAGCTGTATTAAGTCCCATAAACTTAAGAACAGTTCTAGAGGATTAGCTACCCAGAGGTTTAGAATGAAATTAGATTAAATGAAGTATCAATGTTGGCATCTTCTGAGGTTTGCCAGAACTTCAGACCTCTAAGCATCCCCAGAGAAGATTCCATTACTTCATCCTCCTCCTCTAATTTAACTTGCTATTCATTGAGAACCAGGCTCCTACAAGTTACATAATCCTTCCAAAATAACCTCTTACTTGGTATTTTTGTTTTTATGTTTGTTTAGGTAGTAATACCAAAAATACAGGTTTCATATCTTTCCTTTACAATAAATAAATTTCAACAGCTCGATTGAACAGGCTGTTATAATACCGCTCTTAGGGTACACCCACTCTTATTATATTGTTTCTGTAGAAATGCCAACTTTTTGATGAAGAAATGTGAGAGGTGGATTTATAGTAGTATGATTATAGGTCACCAACTTGCTTGTGATGGGAATTTTGGAAACTGCACCACTGGAGGTACATTTCATAAAGTATGCATATTTAATGATCTCAGGTAATATGCTGTGATAAGTAATCATATGGTAGCTATTTGTGTGTGGTTAATTGGTTGCTATGACCATGGTGTGATTATCACCAAATTATACAAGAGTGCCTTTTGCTTCATTGGATGCAACCGTGCCCCAGGTCATATGTCTTGGAAAGAAACTGGGCTAGATTTCTGTTCCCTGCCTCTCACTTGATGGGGACTTACATTATGAAACTTACACGGCTGTGTAGGAGACCTTACTAAGTTACTTATAAAGATTGGTTTCATATGATTTCTTACAAAATGCTCACGTGTACAGAACAACTTGTATAGTCTATACATACAGAATTTCAAAAGATTGCACTTATCACAGTGACTCCAATTCAAATTACAGAAACAGAAGCAGTGAGGTCAAAAGGTCAAAGAGAAAAGTCACACAACTCTAGAGATGGGACAGAAAGAAAATGGTTTGGCAAGGAGGAGATAAACGCAAGAGAGAGGGAAGGAATGGGAGAGGGAAGGGTTGGAGGAGGAAGGGAGAGAGGGAGGGATGCAAGAAGGAAGGAAGGAAGGATAAAAAAAGCAAAGTAAGACTGATGCATAAAAACAGAATATTATTTTTAAAAACATTGATGAACACTTCTGCCTTTTTTTGAGGTGGGAGACAGGTATAGATCCTAGTCTCCTATGTTAATCAATTATAATTATAAAAGAAGGAATGGAGAGATTGCACATATGCATACCCAAAGAGAGAGAGACAGAGAGACACACACAGAGAGAGAGAGAGAGAGAGAGAGAGAGAGAGAGAGAGAGAGAGATGTGTAAACTGCAAACTAAGCCCACGATAGGAAGCCCATGATAATTAGCTTTGCCAGTGAAGAGGTGGTGCCTCTCAGTCCAGCATACCCTTCTCAGAAGCTGTGGGGGAAAAGCTTCTGTGGGTTAAAGTTAGGTCAGTTCAGAGGAGGAAATGCTCTGAGGCCAATTCATTGTTTCATTTCACAGCACATTGCCTTATGCTGGTTTCCTGGGCCCTTGGTAATCTATGAAAAAGATAAACAAGACAATGATGCTGAGTTTGTGTGTCCTCACAGAGACTCTAGCCAAGCTAGGAATACTGGAAATGAAGGGATGGGCTGGGGCCAAGACTAGAGACCTTGAAAATAGGCTGCTGCCTGGGAGAGTATCTGTAAGCTGATGATAATGGCTGTTGGCTTCAGACCTTGGCAGATGTATTTCCCAAACAGTTTCAGATCTAATGAGTCCAGAGAACATCCCATGGGCCAGAGCAGGCATGTTATTGCCAGATTACGGTAGGGAAATGGAGAAAATCTTAGGGTTTAAGTGAGTGATGGGGACACCAGGAACGAGTGTCTCAGCCTGAATTCACACAAACACTTTTGCTTCCAAGCTCTTTCCCAGGAGGGGCAGGGGAAACAGAGGCTGCAAGGATGAGTGAGATTTCAGGGAAGAGGGATGTGGCTCTCCAAGTGCACGTCTAGTCCCCTGTCTTCATGTTTGTTCTCAGGCTCACAAGTGCTGTCTGAGCCTGCTAATGCCACTTCATCACAGAGGATATTTGTCACACCACCTAGCTGCCTGACACTTCCCCAGCCCTTAATCTGAGTTTAAATTTCCATGTGTATGAACCTCACTACCCTAGGATGAAGTCCAAAACTCACTTTTCCAAATTCCTTTGCAGGTGGACACAGCATGGGCCAGGTCTTGTCAGATATATGTGCGCAACAACTTTGATTTGGAAAAGAGCCCTGTAAAGTACAGAGTTTGGGTGAGGATCATAAAGATCTGTGTGTTCTGTAGAGGCAGAGGCTGTGGTGGCCCAGGGCCCAATCTGCTTGGCTGTGACAGTGGAGTCTCTCCTGGGCCAGTAATTAGGGTATTGGGCCTACCTGAGCAGCTTCCAGCATGTACCCAATACAACAAACAATAGAATCCACAGAATACAGTTGGTTGCACTATTATTTGCAACTAAGAAGTCAGTAATTCAATTGTAGATTTTGTGATCACATTTTAGAAAGCATGTACATATTCAACCCTTACCAAAGCAAACTAACGACAAAAAACCAAATAGTAAAAGTGCTTATTTTATTTTAAAGAAACACAAAACATACTAATGTGAGATGAGATTCGCAAATTTGGTTGAATTCAACTAGAGATTGTAAAAAAATGCTCAAAGTGATGGCTCCTTAAAGTCACAGGACTGAACGCGGCCAGGTGGAGGTGGGATAAGGAAGGCATGCTGGCCTCAAGGCTAAAAGTTAAAGGCCACTGTAAAAATGCAGCTACTGAGATGAACAAGGCCTTAAGGCAGAACTCCATGATGAACAAAAATAGCAAAATTTTAAATAAAAGCAAGATAACAATTACTAATTTTCCCTTTCACCTAAAATTGCTATCTAGTTATCTATCTTGTCTTTGGAAAGCTTAAATGGGTTATTTTAAAATAAATTAATAGTACAGATTAAGCTACTAACTGCTTACTCAGATATTCAAATTTTGACTCTTTTCCTTTCTGGTATATGAATATTCCCCGGCAGAGTACAGAATCTTTCTGGGAGCATTCCTGAGCCTACCATTTGGATTAGATCAGAATCTCCATGTCCAAACCTGTCTGAATTTTGTAGAAATATTAACTCTGGCTGAATCTCTAAAATAACAGAGGAAAGGGGGCCAAATTAAACACAAGAAGACATCATATCAAATTTTAAAAAATATCTGGGTGGATGTCTGTCCATCCCTTCCAAATAGATGCGTTAGCAAGTCACAGTGAGGATAATGGTAATTAACATCCATGGGACAGTGTGTGCCAGTGGCTTGTTGGTGCTTTTTGTCACAATCGTATGAGTTGGAGCTTACAGGAAGAGTTAATGGCAGGGTCATTCGACTCAAGCCCAGGTTTGGACTGAAGTCTTCCTGCTACACTATGCTTCTTTCCAAAAGAGTGGACCGATTCATCCAAGAAAGCAAGTCTGAGGACCACGAGGCATCAGGAATGGGCTTTCCTAGCAGGTCATTGGCATTGTTAGAACTACAACTTGGGGGATTCTTTTTGGTAAGTGGAGACATGAAGCTGAGAAGGCCATGAACTTCAGACATGGATGCGATGATTCTGTGAAATGACTCAGTCACCGAGTTTTCCCTGACATCCTGTGAAGTTCATTATGTAGTCCTTGATGTTGTGATGAGAACCTCTGTACCCAGACACAAGTGGAAAAATGGGGGCTCAGCTTACTAAGGTAATTTGAATAGTAAAACTAAGACAAGAACTCATTTTTGTCAATCCCAGCTAAGACTCAGTCCACTGAATTTTATAGCTATCCCGATTCGGTACTGGCCTCAATATAAGCAGAAAGTTACTTTTCATCTGCAAAGCTGAGAGACTGCTCTTAAAAGACTTAGTCCAGAGAGCAGAGGTGAAAAACAGGCATTTT